CGTTCGTGGAACAACGGCAACCAGTGTTCCATGCCCGCGTATCGCCGACCGTCACTGATCGACTGATAGAGCACATCATCACGGCTGGTCGCGCCAAAGCTTGCAAGATATGACCGGCGGTATCTTGAGATTGCCTCGTCTGAAAGTACAACTTCACTCATCGGAACAAGATCAAGCCGCTTGAGCTGCTTCGACGTACGTTGTGTTTCGGCATTGAAAGAGCGAATTGATTCCAGCGTATCGCCAAAGAAATCGAGTCGGACCGGTTCTTCGGATCCCGGCGCATACAGGTCGATGATGCCGCCGCGCACCGCATATTCACCCGTTTCCCGGACCGTCGGCGTACGGGAGAACCCGTTCATTTCCATCCAGCCGGAAACAGCTGTCATGTCGACCTGGTTGCCGGGCGCCATCGAAAATGTCTGTTCGGCCATGAACCCGCGCTCCGGCATCCGCTGAACCGCAGCATTCAGCGTTGTCATCAGGACCGTCTTTCGGCCGCCCTGAATTCCACGCGCCAGCATACCGAGCGCCAGCAATCGCCTGGCGCTGATCGACGGGTTTGGCGAGACCCGGTCATATGGCAGACAGTCCCAGGCGGGCAATTGCAGGATCTCGACGTCGGGCTCGAAAAACGCCAGCGCCTCGCTGACCATGGCCATGCGGGTCGCGTCGCGTGCCGCGAACACCAGTGCAAGACCGTCATTCTTGCTTTCCGCAAGCAGTCTGGCGAGCGCATAGCTTTCAGCACCATCGGGAACACCGGCCAACGTGACGTTGGTCTGGTCTTTGAGCAGGCTGTCAAACACAGCAAAACGTCCTGTTGTTATTTGGCGAAACCGGCCGGGCCGGCCACATCGTGATAGGCAATGATACGTCGGTAAAGCGGACCATCCCATTCCGCCGGCAAAGGCTTGCGCCCGGTCATCCAGGCATAAAGGTCCTGATCGGGCGCGGTCAGAAGATGTTCCAGTTCCAGGAGCTCATCTTCCGAAAGATGGTCGATTTCAGCATTGGCGAAGCCCCCCAGAAGCAAGTCCATTTCCTTCATGCCCCTGTGCCAGCAGCGGAACAGTATCCGCTTGCACCGGGGATCACGGTCTTGCTGTATGGGCTCTTCTGTGCTGCCTGTCGGATTGGACATGAGTGGCCTATCTGAAAATGAGCCGGCAGGGACTGGAGACGGGGTGTCTCTACAGATTGCCGACCCGGTGTGAAATCGTGACGGTTATATAACGCTGCAAAAGAAGATTGTCAGCGCTTTCTCGACTTTGAATGCAGTTATTTGTTCACATATTGTTCTACCTGTTGCACCGATCGTTCGCTTCATGGCAAAACAGACACTGTGTTCCAACAAGTGAGCACTGCAAAAGGATAGGTCCTTTAGGAAAAGATGCGCCCGCCGATCCTCGACCCGCTGTTTGCCCCCGTCTCAACACTGCCCGGGATCGGACCCAAGATCGCCAAGCTGGTCTCGGGCCTGGTTGGTGGCCAGCCGGAGAGGGACGCGACGGTTTCGGATCTTCTGTTCCACATACCGCACAATCTTATTGACCGGCGGCACCAGCCGGGAATTGCCTACTCAGAAAGCGGTGACATCGTCACCCTTGATGTCACGATCGGCCGGCATCAGGCACCACCCAGAAACTCCAAGGCGCCCTACAAGATCCCGGCCCATGACGAGACCGGCGAGATCAGTTTCGTATTCTTTCATCCACGCAGGGACTGGCTGGAAAAGACATTCCCCGAAGGTGAGCGGCGTATAGTGTCGGGCAAGGTCGAATGGTTCAACGACCGCCCGCAAATGGTACACCCGGATTATTCGCTCAAGCCGGAAGAGGCCGCCGAAATGCCCTCGATCGAGCCCGTCTATCCCTTGACGGCCGGCCTTGCATCCAAAACGCTTCAGAAAGCCATGCGCGCCGCTCTGGAACGTGTTCCGAATCTTCCTGAATGGCTCAACGATGCGCATCTGCGTCAGACTGGTTGGCCGGACTTTCGCGATGCCTTGCAGACGTTGCACATGCCGAAAGAACGCCAGGACATGGAACCGCAATCAATCTACATGCAACGGCTGGCCTATGACGAGCTGCTCGCCAGTCAGCTCGCGCTAGCGATGGTCAGGGCCAATATGCGCCTGCTCGGCGGTATCGCCCGAAAACCGGACGGCGCCTTGCAGCAGAGCGTCATCGATGCCCTTCCCTTTCATCTGACGGACAGCCAGTCAAATGCCATCAGGGAAATCAACGAGGACCTCGCAGAACCTACCCGGATGCTAAGGCTCCTCCAGGGCGATGTCGGTTCCGGAAAGACTGTTGTCGCCCTTGCAGCGTTGGCCCAGGTGATCGAAACAGGTGCTCAGGGCGGCCTGATGGCACCGACCGAAATCCTTGCGCGCCAACACTACGCCTCGATGTCGCCGCTGTGCGAGAAGGCCGGCATCCGTCTCGCGCTGATGACCGGCAAGGACAGCCAGAAGCAACGACGCCTGCTCCAGGAAAGACTGGATGCAGGGGAAGTCGATCTCGTGGTCGGAACCCATGCGCTTTTTCAGGGCTCTGTATCGTTCAAGAACCTTGGCATGGTCGCTGTTGACGAACAGCACCGTTTTGGCGTCCACCAGCGGCTGGCCCTCTCGGGCAAGGGCCAGGGGGTCGATGTCCTGGTGATGACCGCAACTCCCATTCCGCGCACGCTCGTCCTGACCTGTTTCGGCGACATGGATGTTTCCCGCCTCACCGAAAAGCCTGCCGGACGAAAACCGATCAGGACCGTCTCCGTGTCGCTCGACCGTCTGGACGAGATCATCGCGCGCGTGGGCGCGGCTATCTCCGAGGGACAAAAAGTCTACTGGGTGTGCCCGCTTGTCGAGGAATCGGAAAAGATCGACCTCGCAGCCGTTGAAGACCGACACCGCGTTCTGGAGCACGCGCTAAGACAACCCATCTCTTTGGTGCATGGCCGCATGGGCGCGGACGAGAAGGACAGTGCAATGTCCGCCTTCAAAAACGGAGAAACAAAGGTACTTGTTGCCACAACGGTGATCGAGGTCGGGGTCGACGTTCCAGACGCGACCATCATTGTCATCGAGCATGCCGAGCGTTTCGGCCTTGCCCAGCTTCACCAGCTCCGCGGACGGGTCGGGCGCGGTGACAAGCCATCATCCTGTGTCCTGCTCTACAAGGGTCCATTGGGCGAAACTGCTGGTGCACGCCTCAACATCATGCGCGAAACCAATGACGGCTTCCTGATTGCCGAAGAGGATCTCAAGCTGCGAGGAGGAGGTGAAATCCTTGGTACCCGCCAGTCAGGCACACCCGGTTTCCGCATCGCGCGGGCGGACGAGCACGCCGATCTTATGGAAGTCGCCCGCGACGACTCGAGGCTCATCCTGGAAATGGATCCGGAGTTGAAGTCCGAGCGCGGCGCGGCACTTCGATGCCTGCTTTACCTTTTCGGCAGGGATGCCGCGATCAGGTTGTTGAGAGCGGGTTGATCGTCGGGAATTTTTTGTGAAACACTGGTCTGAGATCGTATTTCAGGAGCCGGTATTGATTTCCAGAGATGAAGCGCGGGCAATCGCGCAAAAACGCATTGATACCTGGAATGCTAGCAACGCAGATTTCGTAGCACGGCTTGATGTAGATTTACCTGTATGTGTTTTGTTCAAAGCGCCTTTGGCAGAAGGCGATTTCGGCTGGGTTTTCGGCTATCAAAGTGAAGCATTTTTGAAATCAGGTGACCCAATGGAGTCACTGGCGGGAAACGCTCCGTTTCTTATAGCCCGACAAACGGGAAAACTCCTTGAATTGGGCACTGCCCATTCAGTTGAAACATACGTCGGCAACTTTAAGAACTTCGGTCATCCCCACCGATTTGGCGGAAGAACTCTTCAACTGGACGGTTTTGAAAAAGGCGCTGACAGGCTGTCGGCAATCAAGGCGATCCGAAACTCCATCGGCTGCGGTCTGGCCGACGCTGCACAGAAAGTTGAGCTATGCTTTCAGGGCGCAAGACCGACAATCGATTGCCGAACCCGCGCGCACGCGATTGATCTCGCATCTGAGCTCAACGGAATGAATATCCTCGCAAAACAGTTACCCGATGAAGAAACCTTCAAAGCCGATTGTCACGATTGATCAGGCACTCTCCCTGTTCCGGATCTCTTCCAGTTTTTCCGGTTCGGCGATGACATCTTCCAGGATATCCGGAAGATCAGGACTGACAAGACCCGCCGAAATGACCAGTTTCGCCGCGTCTTCAACACCCATGCTGAGTTCGATGATGTCTTCCTTGGGCACGAAGAGCAGGAAGCCGGATGTCGGGTTGGGTGTCGTCGGCAGGAAAACGGAGACTGTCTTTGCCGTGTCTTTCAGACGCTTTGCGACTTCTCCTTTGGTTTCCGTCGAAATGAAGACGATAGCCCAGAGCCCCTTGCGCGGATATTGGACAAGTGCCGCCTTGGTGAAGCTGTTTCCGCGTTCATCAAGCACTGTCTCAAATATTTGCTTTAAGCCACTGTAAATATTGCGAACAAGCGGCATTCTTCCGACCACACCTTCGCCGAAAGATATCATGCTCCGCCCCAGGAAATTCGCCGCGAGGAATCCGACGATCGTCAGAACGAAGATCGCAACGATCAGTCCGAAGCCGGGTACAGGAAACGGCAGGTAGGTTTCTGGATTGTAGACCTTGGGCACGAAGGGCTTCACCCAGCCGTCAACCCACTTGATAAAGGTCCAGGTCAACCAGAGTGTGATACCGATCGGGCCGGTGATCACGAGGCCGGTCAAAAAATAGTTTCGCAGGCGAGTTGCCGCACCCGGCCGATGGCCTATGATCGACGTGTCATCTGATTTATGTTTATTGCGGCTCATGGATGCAACCTGACTAGGGTCCTTTTGAGTACTCGTCTTACCGTGTAACACACACTAGATAATTATCTTTATCTCGGTGCGGTATCCTTGGCTTGACTTATTTTTCAGCGATATACCCTAAAAATGCCGATTGCGGAGGCAGGATTGCGGCGGATCACATTCAAACTTCTGGGAACCGGATGTGTAGGCATCGGAATCGCCGGCGCTTTTCTGCCGCTCCTTCCGAGCACAATCTTTTTCATCATGGCCGCCGCCTGCTTTGCCAAGTCCTCTCCGGCCCTTGAAGCGAAGATACTCGATCACCCTGTATTCGGTCCGCCGGTGATCGCATGGCGGGAGCATGGTGCCATTCAGCCCAAGGCAAAGGTGATTGCGATCATGGGCATGATATTCGGATATGCAATGTTCTTCTGGTCCGCTTCGCCTGCTCTCTGGCTCGCCGTGATCGTGGCTCTCTTCATGATCGGCAGCGCGGCCTATGTGCTTTCCCGCCCCTCCGGACCCAAGGCACAGACCCCGGGTGCATCGCCAGGTTAATGTTGGGGCATTGAAAGTCGGGCTGCTGGCACACCAACAAACAACAGATGCAGCAGGGACAAGATCAATCGTCCGGAATAAGGCGTTTTCCAAGCGGCATCGCAGCGTCCTGTGAAAACCCCAGATCCTCATAAAAACGCAGTACGGCCTCATTGTCGCTTCGTACGAACAGATTGATTTTAGGGCAACCGATTTCCAGCAGAAATGTTTCGCAATACTCCATCAGCTGCTTGCCAAATCCCCGCCCCTGAAACTCGGGATCAACCGCCAGGTAATAGACAGATCCCCTGTGACCGTCATAGCTTACCATCACCGATCCCACGACACGCTTTCCGACAAGAAGAACAGGAAACCTGCCGTTCCTGTCGGTAAGTTTCCTGTCGATATCCTTGCCCGGATCGTTCCAGGCGCGCACAAGCCCGCACTTGGCCCAAAGTGCCAATACGTCTTGCCGGAATTGTTCCTCGAAGGGCACGATTGCCGTTTCGTCTTCAACAGACATTTGTCATTCCACCGTCACCGACTTTGCCAGGTTGCGCGGTTGGTCGACATCCGTTCCCATGAAGACAGCCGTGTGATACGCAATCAGCTGCACAGGCAAGGCATAGATAATAGGCGCCACGATGTCGGACATGTCCGGCATAATCACCGTGTTTTCAGCCGCTCCGCCGCTTTCCTCCGCGCCCTTACGATCTGTGATGAGCACGATCCTGCCGCCGCGAGCAGCCACTTCCTGCATGTTGGAGACGGTTTTTTCGTAGATCGAGTCATACGGTGCGATGACAAAACCGGCATATTCTCGTCGATCAGTGCAATCGGTCCGTGCTTCAACTCACCGGCGGCGTAACCTTCCGCGTGGATGTAAGAGAGCTCCTTCAGCTTGAGTGCACCTTCGAGCGCAAGCGGGTAGTTTGTCGAGCGGCCGAGATAAAGAGCATTGTCCGCTTTGGACAATGGCTGCGACAGTTTCTCGATTTCGCTTTCTGCGGCAAGTGCTTTCAAGGCCAGGCTCGGAATTTCGGTAAGTTCCGAAACGAGTTCCTGCTCGCGTTCGGCCGACAATACGCCGCGCTCCCTGCCGGCCTGAAGAGCAAGCGCAGCCAACACCGCAAGCTGACAGGTGAAGGCCTTGGTCGACGCGACACCGATTTCCGGTCCTGCAATGGTCGGATAGACCATATCGGCCTCCCGCGCGATCGTGCTTTCCGGCACATTCACCACGGCACCGATCGCTGCACCGTTCTCCTTGCAGTACCGCAACGAAGCGAGCGTATCTGCGGTTTCTCCCGATTGTGAAATGAAGAGCGCCGCATCATTCCCGCTCACAGGGGTCTCCCGATAGCGAAACTCGCTGGCAATATCAATTTCGACAGGCAGGCGGGCGTATTTCTCAAACCAGTACTTGGAGACAAGACCGGCAAGGTAGGCCGTTCCACAAGCTGAAATAAGCAAACGGGATAGCTTGTTGAAATTGAGTTTCTCTGCACCGGCGACGTTCGCCGTGTTGGTGGTGTAGTCGAAATAACGGGACAAGGTGTGCCCGAGCACTTCCGGCTGCTCATGGATTTCCTTGGCCATGAAGTGCTTGTAGTTGCCCTTGTCCATAAGGCTGGAGGTGACCGACGATTTTGCCTCGGGACGCTCGACCGGTGAGTTGTCGCGATCGAAGATCTGAACTCCATCGCGCGTCAGGACTGCCCAGTCCCCTTCATCCAGATAGGTGATCCGGTCGGTGAAGGGAGAAAGGGCGATCGCATCCGATCCGAAGAACATTTCTCCCTCACCGTGACCGATAGCCAGTGGTGATCCCTTTCGTGCACCGATCATCAGGTCGTCCTCACCAGCAAAGAGCAGTGCAAGCGCAAATGCGCCCTTCAGACGCGGAAGGGTCTCCGCGACCGCCTCCCTGGGAGACAATCCCCTCGTCCGCGCAAGGTCGATCAGATGTGCAACCACTTCCGTATCGGTATCGGTGCTGAGCACGGCACCTGCGGCAACGACTTCGTCACGCAGTTCAAGATAGTTTTCAATGATACCGTTGTGGACGAGTGCCACCGATCCTGCCTGATGCGGATGCGCATTGGACAAGGTCGGAGCTCCGTGGGTCGCCCAACGGGTATGGCCGATGCCGGACGTTCCGGAAAGTGGTGACCGTTCCAAAGCGGCCTCAAGATTGCGCAACTTGCCTTCGGCCCTTCGGCGCACGAGGCCGCCATCGATCAGCGTCGCCACGCCGGCAGAATCATAGCCTCGATATTCCAGGCGTTTCAGTGAATCGACAATGCGCGGGGCAGCTTCAATATTTCCCAGAACACCAACAATGCCACACATTGAAAAATCCTTCTCAAATCATCGAAAACTGCCCTCCTTTAGACGAGGGAACACTTCCAATGGAAATAAATACGTGTTTCAGAAAATGACAGAACCGGGTCGCGAACTCCTTACCTGGACTTCGCATCCTTTTCGTTCTGCAACCTGCTTCGCAGCTGCGCGGCCTTGCCTTCCTTGACGATCTGTCTCGATCTTCCGAACGCCATCGCATCTCCTGGAACATCATCCGTGATGACGCTGCCGGCAGAGACAAACGCGCCGGCATTCAATTGCACCGGTGCCACCAGCGTGGAGTTGGACCCGACAAAACACCCCTCACCGATCTCCGTTCGGTGTTTGAGATATCCATCGTAGTTGCAGGTGATCGTTCCGGCGCCAATGTTGGATCCGGAGCCAATGGTGGCATCGCCTATATAGGTGAGGTGATTGGCCTTGGCCCCTTCCCCGAAGGTTGCGTTTTTGACTTCAACAAAATTGCCGACCTTGGTCTTTGCGCCAAGGACGGCTCCGGGACGCAAACGTGCATATGGACCAACAACGCTTCCGCTTCCAACGTCTGCCCCTTCAAGATGGCTGAAGGCACGAATAGTGGCACCAGAAGCAACTTTCACGCCGGGAGCGAACACGACGTTCTGTTCGACTGTCACACCCGTTTCGAGGATCGTGTCATGCGAGAAAAACACGGTATGCGGTGCCAGAAGCGTGCACCCGTTTTCCAGGGCGGCAAGACGCATCCGGTTCTGGAAATCTTCCTCGCACGACGCCAGCTGGGCTCTGGTGTTGATACCTTGTGTTTCCACTTCGGAGCCGGCAACGGCACCAACCTTCAACCCTCGCTGATTTGCAATCTCGACAGCGTCGGTCAGGTAGAATTCGTTTTTGGCATTCTTGTTGCCGACACTTTCCATCAGGGCGAGTGCATGTGCGCCCGAGAATCCCATGATGCCGGAATTGCAGAAGGTTGTTTTCCGTTCTTCTTCCGAAGCATCCCTTTCCTCGCGGATAGCAACGAGCCTGCCATCATCGATGAGAAGACGGCCATACCCGAGTGGTTCGGGAGTTTCGAACCCGAGCACGACGAGATCTGCTCCTTCCGCCAATTGCCCGCGTACTTTTGAAATGGTCCCGGATGTGACAAGCGGTGTATCGCCGAAAATCACCACAACATCATCTGCCGCGTCTTGCAAATCCGATTTGGCGGCAAGCGTTGCATGCGCGGTTCCAAGACGTTCTGCCTGGACATGGCAATGTGCCGTCGGCATCAGTTCATGCACCAAAGATTCGAGATTCGGCATATCGGGACCGGTAATGACGGAGACGCGTTCCGACCCGGCTTCCTCGAGCGCTTTCAAAACATGACCCACCATCGGCAGGCCACCAATCTGGTGAAGGACCTTGGGCATGTCCGACTTCATCCGGGTCCCCAGACCTGCGGCAAGTACAATTGACAGGCAAGTGCGTGCGGTCATGAAAATTCCATCTTTAACAGTGCGCGTGCAAGACCAACGGGCGGACCTCTATATGCCCCGATCCACAGAACATTGAAAGATCTGACCGGTAGGGCATTTCCGTTTTTGTTTCGTTAACCATAATGAACCTCAGATGCAGTATCGTTATTCAGATTCGCCATCAGGATCCGGAAAAGACGCCTTGTTTGAACCACAGGCCCCAAAAACGAAACGCGCAGTTGTCCGGGACACGTTCACGTCTCCGCGGATCGGTATGCTGTCGTGGGCTTTTGCTGCCATCCTGATGGGCACAGTCGGAGTTGCTTCCTATCAGTTCAGCGGTGGATCCTTTTCACCGGGAATAGTTTCGGGTGTGGCTCCCGCCGGAATGCGCCTTCCCGACAACGGCAGTGTCGAGACGACGGCGTCGATCGGAATCAACAATCCTGTCGCAGTAATGAACTTGCCCGGGAGCCAACAGCGTGGCGTCGCGTCAAGCATAGAGCAAAGCCAGATCGAAGTTCTTCAACGGGAAGTCGTCGGGTTGCGCCGACGTCTGGTGGCGCTGTCGGAGCAAAACCTGATCTATTCCAGGCGCATTGCAGCTCTCGAGCAGGAAGTTGCCAGAACCAAGCTCGCTTACGCCGGCAAAACCACATCCGCAGAAGAATTGGCTGCCATCCAGGAAGTTGTCCCCCGCCCGGGAATTGTCGTGACAAAAACACCTCGGAAACCTGCGATCGCGAAGCACGAGCCAGCCATGCCTTCGGCAAAACCGACATCGAATGCGGTGGGCCAGGTTCAGAAGAACCTGAACTCCGATCCGATGAAGGCTGATCATGCAAAGGCGGAGCCCGTTCCCAAGGCGCAGACTGACGTTTCCCGACATCTTCCTCCGCCAGAAACCATTCCGGCTCCTGAACTCGGTACCGAAGAGCCGGTGCGGATCATCACACAATCCAAAAATGAAAGCGCACCCTTGACGACGGCGTCCATACCGACGGTCGTTGACCAAGGAACTGAGACATTCAACGAGATCCCGACGCGCTCAGGACTCGCACCCAAAGTGGTCACACCTTCGGACCCCGCCGGTCAGATCCGCGGTGGTGGCGACAGCCAGATAAAGCGCAGCGATTTTGGCGCCGTCATCGGCCACTACAGGACCAGCGCCGGTGCGGCGAAGGCCTGGGCGGATTTCAAGGAACAGAATGAGGATCGTAT